TAATATTATATATATATATAATATATATAAATATAAATATATTTTTTATATAAATATAAAAAATTATTAAATATGTTATATTAAATATTAATATAAATAAAATATATAAAATAATCGATTTATTATTATCGATTTATTAAAAGAATTTTAATAGAATTTTAAAAGAAATTTTTTAATAGAATATGATTCACATAATTCACGTATTACATTATTTCACGTTTATATTTCAATTTATTATTATAATTTGTTTATTTTTTTTAGTTATTTTATATATTATAAATCTTTGATCAATTGATTGAAAATTATTAAAAATATTTAATTCAAAAATGAATTATAATCAAATCATTATTCTAAAATAAAATAATGGAAAAAAATAAAAAGATAACGGTATTAAATAATACTGAAAATAAAACATTATTAGTTAAATAATAAATTTACTTTCATATCAAATAGTAATTCGACATATTTAAGGCAAAAACATACTATTATATTATACAATTACTATATTATTCTTAATATGACCTATGTTAAGTAACCTATAAAAATAGTTGATTATTTCATTATTTTATTGTTTTTAAATCAAATATATTTTATATTTGCATAAAAAAAAGTAAAAAATGTAAATAATAAATATTTTTACAAATCCATATATTAATTTAATGTATAAATATTAATTATATGTATAAATATAAATTTTTCCAACTTGAAAATCGATTTAAAAAATGAATTAATTAATCATCACCTGTTTATGTAATAGATCTCTCCTCCGACCTGCTGGTTCTTTTCCTAACAGGGGTACCAATATCCCTAGACACGATTGAAATTTTTCTAATGCAAGTGCATAATTTCCTTCTGCAAGATATAATTCAGCAATTTCTCCTATTTCAAATGCATCCATCATACCAACTGTACTTTTGCTAAGTATTCCTATTGATAAATAAATATAATAATAATTTATTAAAAAAATTTTTTTAAGTTCAAAATCACAATTAAATATGTTTATCTATTATAAGAAATAATCATAAAATAATATTTCATATTAAACACGTTACTTCTATGTTTATATGAATTAACAGAAGAATTAAAACAATAATTTGTTCTTGGCGCATAAGTAATATTAAGTAGTAATATCTAGTAGTAGTAAGACACGAATTCTATTCTATTTATCTTTCTTTGATTATATTGTTTTTTTTTTTGAAACTCTTCCCAATTAGAATCCTATAATGATATATAATTATATTATATTTTTAATGAATTTTATGTTTTCTAATTTATATAAAAATTTTAATTATAATATAATTACAATTTTTATCTATTCTTATATTTTATTCTCAATATAATTTATGTTAAATAATTTTAATTAATTTTTTAATTTAATATAATAATTTTTTTTAATAAAAGAAATATTATTTTATGAATTCTCCTATACAAATTAAAGAATCAAAAAATATTATATAATACTTTATTAAAATAATTGCAGTATTATAAAAATTTTAATACAAACGCAGTTCATGATATGCGGATGATGATTTTTCATTTATAGATGATATTCTTTGAATAGACGAAGAGCTTCCTTTATAATGCATATATTTACATTTATCTTTATCATCAATATTATCTATACACGATGCTTTCAATATTTCTGCTCTTTTAATGTAATCATTTATACGTAATCTTAAGCTTTCTTTTCGTTTTAAATCAGTCTCATCTAATAATACATAATTAAAATATAAATAATTATAAATAAATTATATCATATTTATTTTATTTGTATTATTTATAA